AAAAAGAGAAAAAAAATACTTTGATAAAATTTCAATGAAATTTTTAAAATTCAATAAAAATGGGATATAAAAGTCGTCGAAAATTTTGTCCGAAATATCGATTAAAATTTCAGGTAAAAGTCGTCGTCGTTGTCGTTTTCAAAATTTAGAAAAAACAATTTCCTTTCGAAGAAGACACGAGTAATGTACATAAATCTAATCTATGGCCGAGCTAGCATTTCCGCTCAGTAGACTCGCATATCCGTTAACCATCGAAGCAAGGCAAACGTCCGAAGAGTCCGAAGAGTGCAAGCCGTCAGTGGGAATTAGAACGTTAATAAATATCCCTATCTTCGCCAAGCGATAAGAACGTGCACGCGGATGGAATTCATGACAAATGTGTCGATAGAAACGGCAAAGACGCTGCTGAGCTTTAACGGCTTCTTGTTGCAAAAAAAAGGTTTTGCAATATCGCCAAGCACAATTAAATGAACGATAAATCTCTTCTTTATCCTTGGAATTCATGAGTAGCTTTCGAATTTCTTTTTTAATTTTCCTTCTTGCTCCTGCTTTCTCTCTCTCTCTCTCTCTCTCTCTCTCTCTCTCTCTCTCTTTCTCTCTCTTTTTCTCTATTTATTCTTTTTGATTAAAAAGAGACGCTCGTCGATTAGCACGGCCCCTAACGTCGTTTATACGAAGAAAAATACATGTTCGGTGTAACGTTTCTCAGAATCACCATCAAACCCATTACCAATGATGATCGTGGCCAGCTTTACGGCTTTCCATCTCTAATGGCGGCGGGTCTTGGTGATAGCAGACAGCCTGGCAGCAAAGCAGCCCTCCTCCTTCTCGGAACTCCAACGTGCTTGGCATTTCGTATGGAGATCACAAACGACGACCTCAACGAATACACCTCCGCCACGTTTCGCATTCTTTTCCGTCCGTCCATCTGTCTCTCCTCGTTCGAGTAAGACGTGCCGCTCTTTCTCTTTCTCTCTCTTTCTCTCTCTTTCTCTCTCTCTCTCTCTCTCTCTCTTTCTCTCTTCTCTCCCTCTCTCTCTTTCTATCTCTAAGAAAGATGCCAAGAATTTCACGTTACACTTCGCCGAGCTCGAAGGGCGGATACTCTCGAGTGAGTCGTCACGTTTCGTGCACCTTCTCGAACTAATCGAGTAACAACTTCCGTGGAATTCAGTAAAGTATTAGAAAATTTTTCCGATCCATAAAAACTTGTGAATTCTATAAATCTCTTTAAAAATTTCAACAATCCCCTAACGTTATTCGTGTCACGACTTCGAGTTCGATCACAAAAGCACATGCAAATATATGTATATATCTATATAAATATATATATATATATATATATATATATATATATATATATCGCTGAAGTGCTCTTGGATTTCATCGCATTGAAATGGATTTGAGAATGAGTTGGCCTTTCTCAATGTTTCTATTATTCAACCTCAACTGTTCTTAAAGCATTGCGATTATCACTAAACAAGTCGAACACGTCAAGGAAAGGAAACTGATCGATCTTCGACATCGTGGGTGGTCCAAGTATCGATTCTTTTCTCCTATGTATTATTTTTGAATGCGGTCGACTCGCTCCGGGCATTTCCTCTTCATTGTTTTCTTCTCAAGAATTTTTATTCATATTCATATTCAATCGGTTACACACCTTCGAGCTATCTTCCCTTTCTGACGAAAACGGCGGACAGAGACGAGAAAAAAAAAAAAAAAAAAAAAAAAAAAAAAAAAAAAAAAAAAAAAAAAAAAGAAAAGATATACGAAAGAAAAATCTATACACGTCCATCTATCGGAATTACCGAAGCACTCGAGAGAATGCAAATTCTTGTAGGCTCCTCGAAAACCGCCGCCCCCCCCGGCGTGGTAACAGCGAAGTGGACCACCTTGCCACTTTTCTTTTGGGTGGTCCCACTAGCCGAGTCCAATGTTTAATAACAGGAGGTGTTGTACAGCATACTCGATAATGCTTTTTAACAGCCGACGTATAGCCTTCGAGAGGGTATCTTGGAATATTTTACTCGGCTAGATTGTAATTCGGTCTTTACACCTCCAAAGATTCTTTCTTTGGAGTTCAAGAAAGATCTTGAACTTTACTTTTTCGCAAGAGAAATAAGGAGGATTCATTCCTCGAACCTTACTCGAGGTCGATCTTTTATCACCGCTTACCATCTGTCGTAGTTGCTGAACGAAAAGCAAACTCGCATCATGCTAATGTAAGTTTTATTGGCCAGTTTGCGGTCTCGCCACTTAACCGGCTTCTTCCTTACCTTGAAACGAAGGCTCCTTAATTTTGCGAAGTCCTATAGCTAAAAGATAAAAAAAAAAAACGAATAATCTATATCGATCGTGTCTAGTTTGAGTCCTAGTTTAGAAACTTTCTCGTCTAATACGACAAGCAACAAAATACAACGTGCTCCGGTAGTTACTGTAATTAAAGCGGAATGCTGTTTTTAATATGTCTTTGAAAGATAATATACAAAATTACATATAGATTTGCATGCGTCTATCTAAGAAAATCAGGTCTTTCCACGTCGTAAAACAACGATAGGCTTAGGCCACGTTAGATTGAAAGTATTAACTAATCGGATTTTGCGATGATAGTAAAACGAATAGACTCGTTTCAAGCACATTCTTAATGTCGATAATTTTTCTTGTTATTTTATTCTTTTCTTTTTTCTTTCCTTTTCTTTTTTTTCTTTTTTTTTTTTTTCTTTTTTTTTTGGAAGAAGATCCTTTGGACTTTCTCGTGTACTTCTCGTGCTATCGAAATCACGGCATCTCTGGCGAGTTATAGAATAAAGATGAGACAAATCGTGTCTGCATGAACGAGAGCAAAGAGTAGTCCATTTCAGTCGTGCTTCGCATGTTGTTAACTTTCCCTTATCGGTCTATTCGCTTTCAACCAGCTAGAATTTCAGGAACGAGCTGCGATAAATTGCACGACGACAAGATATGCATTTCGCGTAAACGATTTTATTCCCTCGTTTTAAATGAGAAAAAGTCAATCACATTAAAGAGGAAAATTATTTCTTTTGTTTCTTTTTTTTTTTTTTTCTTTTCTTTTTATTCGGAAAGATAATCGAGGAGACCTCCGCGCGTGAAAAGCGCGTGTGGTCAATTACAATATTCAATTTTATCTATTTTATTCATATTCTTATCTACGCTTTAAGTTTATGTCTCCGTTCTTCTTTTTATTACCATATAGCAAACAATATATCACATTGAAGCAATTCCTATGATATTTTTAATAAAATGAAAGACAATATATGAAAGACTTCGCAATTTGATCGTAAATTTTTCGTAATTACACGAAATCGAGAAAAGAAATTGCATGCGAATAGTTACCTGTGATATATGAAGGCATTGAAAACCTATTGACCTTTGATCCATTGATCATGAAACTCAAACTCCCGTCGTTCCATTAAGACGAAAAATATTTTCCTAGTATATCCCTCGTGTCTTTCGTAAAATTTATGCTTACTGTGTCGAATCAATAATGAGAAAGATCGTGAAACTCAGTGGAGAAAGATCTAAAACGATCTAACGACCGTATTGTTCCTTATGTCTCTAAGAAACGTTACCTTTTACAAAAATATTTCTTTGTTCATCGTATACGTAATGTAAAATATCCATGTAAAAAATAAAAAAATATTTCTTATCGTAATTATAATTCTAAATTTTATTGCCAGACGTAGGCGGCAAACAAAATCATATCACAAAATGAGATTCATAGGAACCGTAAGATCGTTTTAAAACCTTGCCCTCTTGACCTTTTGCCGAGTCTGATTTCATCTGAATCATTAACGATAGCAGAGTTAAATATGCCCGTGTATATCCGACTCATAAAAATTTATTACTTCCAATACATTTTCATTTATCTCACAATCATATGATATGTTTCTTCTCAAACATATTATTTTTTAAAAATAATATGTTTATAAAAATTTATTACTTCCAATACATTTTCATTTATCTCACAATCATATGATATGTTTCTTCTCAAACATATTATTTTTTAAAAATATAAAGAAACAAGTAATCACGTATCTTTCATATAATTTCAAAAAATAAACAAGCATCAAATTTCGCCAGTTCAACGTATCTTATCTTTGCTTATATCACGGTAATCTTCCTTAATACTGATTAAACAAAACTCAAGTAATATCAACGTAGTTTTCAATAATGAAGAGATAACGCGAAGTTCTTAGAAATACGAAACCGCAAAAGTCATCGTACGAATTATCGACATATGGATAGAATATATTAAAATAAATTCAAAGTGCGTAGATTCGAGGAAAATTGTTTCTCTTACCAAAGAAAGATAGAGTGAGAGAAGCGTTTACGTTCGTCGGGATTGTTTCTATTAAGCGGCGAGACATCAAAGACAACACCAGATGTTACATCGTACTACATGGATCAAGTAGATCCATGCCCTCTTTGAGAGTAGATGCACGATCGCAAGGTACACCGTGCGAGCGAGATGCAAATTGGCTTATTAGCCTTATCTTTGGTAGAAAATCTCTTGTGGCTGTGCGCGAGCTTCGGAAGAATCTGGCCACCCGTGATCGAGAAAAGATTTATTTAACGAGCCTTGAAGAAAGCCCGATGATATTTTGCATATATATATGTATATATACATATATATATATATATATATATATATATATATATACATATATATAAAAAAGAAAAGAAAAGGAAAATGAAAGTTCAATAATTACTTTTGAAATTAAACGAATAATTAAATGATTGAGTCCCTCTCTCAAACTAATTATAGTATCACGAATGATGAACGATATTTTTTTTTACATTCGTTCCAGTTCGATCGACTATTAGAAAGTTTTTAGAAAATCTATTTCCTGTAATCGAACAACGAATTTCGAAATGGCATCGAAAAATGTCGAAGTTCTTGTCATTATCAATGTTAGCTTCGCAAAATCATTTCTATTCGCTTTCTCTAATCAAATACGATGCTATGTCTTTTTCGACAGGATTACAACGACAATGAAACCACGAACGATCAGAAGAGCACGAGTACAACGACGACTACTACGAGCACCACTACTACCAGCACTACTACCACAACAACGACCACACCTAAGCCTACGCTTACTCAGCACTTCGACTACAGAGATTCAAGAGCTTACGACAGTGGTACCAGCACCCAATACAACGGCTACCAAGCGAAAAACGACTACCCGCCTATGTCAGCTCACAGCGTTCACAAGTGGCAGTCCCTGGGCACTCGAGAGAGCGTTAAAGAGACCAGAAGCAACATGCAGCAATATAACAAAAACGGCAAGAGTACGTCTCGTCAGTTTTTTTCTTATATCGCGTATACCTTTGAGATCGCTCTCTTTGCTAAAAGGATCCCTTTGAGCTCGATATGATATGCAGGGTTTATAAATGAGTCTTTTTAAAAGGACAAAATTGTATGATGTCAAAGAGAATACAATGTCATCCTCTATAATCGAAAATAATTGAATTCACTATGCACTTTTCGATAATACGAACTAGCATTGATAAAAAAAAAAAAAAAAAAAAAAAAAAAAAAAAAAAAAAAAAAAAAACATTTAATTATTATCATGCAGGAAGAGTATGAAAAATGTGATACGATAGCGCATTCACGTCCAAGGCGTTCCGTAATCGATTTATGTAGATTACAGTAACAGCATCTTCCCCAATTAACTTTGAGACCCTACCCGAAGGTCCGTTGTTAATCGATATTCAAAGACAACGTAGGTGGCCCTACTCGATCAAACGTTGCATTATTTTTCGTATTTAGATGAAAAGTGATTATTAATACGGTACTTAAAATTCACTCGATGATCGATATGCATCATGTCGAAAATTAATTTCTTTAAAAATTTTAGTTTAGAAATAATCTAAAGAAATATCAATCGTTGACAGACTCGACAATAGACGTGTTAGCGATGCGTATTCTAAAAGGAAAGAAAAAAAAAAATAAAAAAAAAAAAGACAAATAACTTCTAGCTACCAAGAGACTTCTTGCTAGATTTCATCTCTCATTTATTAAAATGTCGACACATATGTATTCAGAAAATCTTTAAACGCGACGCGTGTTCTCGCTGACGCCTCTATTTATTCAAGAAACGTTGGTATCTTGCTCGACGTAATTACGTGATCGGTCAGGATGTATCATCGTGATCTCATATAATTTCAAAACATGCTAACTATTGTCAGAAATACCATTTAACTCTAACAAAAATTATATTCAATTACAGGCGTAAATTATAAGCGATTTAAATTCCTAATGACGAAGTATTTATTAAATACAATCAAAATTCATATCTAATCGTTTATAGTACATTAAAATTTTCTATTTCAAGAGACAATTCGATTGAAAATAAGACGAAAGTAAAGAAAGAGGATGCCGAGCATTAACATGCAAACTGATTGCAAAGTTGCGGCAATTCTCCATACTTTTTTGAATTCTCCTCCTGTTGTCCCATACACGATAGGCGTTACGTACATACCATGCAACGTTTACGAACAACGAAAGTTCGCCGCACGTGCGGCTCAACCTTCGTTTTCACGGCGTCGAGCGTTAAAGAGAACTTTTTATTCCTTCGATAGAACGATAGGTCGAGTTTGCTCGGTAAAAGCATGGAGACCGTTCGCTTCGTTCCTCGACGATCACGACTAGCTATGCTCGTTTTCTTCTCGTGATTTTCATTTTATCTTCGTCGTTCGAAAAATCGAATATTCCGTATGATCGAAAAAAAATTAAAACGTTTGGAAAAAATAGAAATACATTTGTTACTATCTTCGATTAAGAATGGCCTGAATTTTTCCTTTTCTCTTTTTCTCTTTTTCTTTCTTTTCTTCTCTTTTCTTTTTCTTTTTTTCTCGATTCAACGATCAAGATCATAAATAGAGACAGGTAGTAAGACAAAAGGAAAAATCAAATGATCGATCCGAAAGAATAACAGGTGATCGAATCTAAACTTCTTTTCACTCGGCATAATGCATTCAGGAATACGTTTGAATACGGGATGTACGAAGCGAGAGAGCGATTCTTCAGAATTCCTGACGGTCGTGCCTCTATTGTGAACGCTCGCAGATAGAATCTCGGTGTCAGTGCGGACCGTGCCGAGTGGAAGCAACGCCTACGCTCGGAATTAGCATACCCATAGATCGGCGGTGAAGATTAAACGACTAGGAAAATATATATATATATATATATATATATATCGATGAAGGAATCGTTTCCAAAACTCTTATGAAAATCATTTCGTTTCTCTTGTCAAAAAGTACTTCCATCTCTTTTATCCTTTTTACGAACGAACAAAATCATTAAAAAAAGTTAATATTGTTTATTGTTAAAATGAAGAATGCATTAATGGTATTTTAAGTACTGTGTTCCATTAGGCTACGTTACATTTTCTTCGTACAAATCAGCATGTAATTACTCGCAAAATCGTAAGATCATTTTCCTTTTAATAATAGTCACGAATGATATTAGAATTCTATTCGTTAAAATATTTCGATTTCAACACAGTTCGCGTGTCGAATCTTTTTGTTCTTACAAAATGATCAATTCTTCCTATTACATGAGAGAATAAACTCTAACTCGTAAAATGATCAAAGAACGAATCCGTTTCGATTTTGCTTCGCTCTCTTCGGAATCTTTCTCTTTCTCTCTTTCTTTCTCTTTCTCTCTTTCTCCGGTACTCCGTTACGGCCAATAAACTAATCCGCGAGTAATGCCGACTGACAAACGACGATTTAATGCCAACTTGCGGACGTAAAAGCAGTGTGGAACGCGAGAGTAAAGACGACGACGATCGGTGGTAATAATTTTCGATTAGAAACGACGCGATCCTGCCCTCGTCTGCAATATTTATAAAGCGGCTCTTCGTCTTCGTCTTTATCATCCTATTCGCGAACTTGGCCCGATTAACCTCTCATCTTGAATTCGCAATACTATCCACGTAATGTTCGATATTACTAATATAGACGTTTGATACACGTTAACATATCTTTCGTGAATACTTTGAAATAAGCCTTTTTTTTTATTTTAAAACATTAACATTTATTTTCTAATACATTCAACGAGTAATTACTCGTTTTACTTTAAATGTAAAAGCAATCAAAGAGAATTTCTTTTTTAACTCTATCTTTGTATCAACGAACATGACTCATAATTACTTCATCTCTGGGAACGAGAGTTTGATGTAATCTTTGCCCTTTGTCGCGTCGAATTAATTCATTCTAACATTCTTTGACATTACTCGCCTAGAGAATCAGTAAGAGCGAGGATATTTATGTATATATGTATATACCATTGAATCGTTCAAGTATATCCTGAGTAATAACAAAGTAGCGACGCCCTTTGATCTTCTCTCTCACGAGGAAACGACCATAGAAACTCAAACTATGTAATTTTCCCTCATAGAGTTGGAGAAGTCTTAAGCGACATCCATCGTAGTTTTTCGATCGATGAGGACATTTCTTCCGTGATCAAGGCGAACCTCTCGATACAACTGACGTCGGCATAATTATCGATAGTATGCGGAATGCGTAGAAAGCGATTAGGTATTTTTCCCTTGAATCAATAGAAAGCTTTCGTGACCGATATCTTTCAATCTTAAAAAAAATATTGCAACAAGTATGTATCCATATGTGTATGTGTGTGTGTGTGTGAATGTTTGTGTGTGTGTATCTGTAATAAAATACTTTTTCTTTAGTAATGAACGCATGAAGTTTTTAAATACATAATGGAATAGTCATCGTCAATAAGGACAAATCAACCAGGGACAAAAATCAAATAGAAATAAATCAGATCGTTTTATTGATTTCCTTTGAAAACTATCGTCTCTCTTTCACGATTATCTTTTAATTCTACAAGGATAATACAATTTTGCATAATTTTCAGCTGCACAAATCAAGGATGCTCTACAATACGCGATAAAAGTATCTAAAGAAGGTAGCTGTCAGTGGCCACGTCCAAGAGTTATTCCGGTTCGCGATGTCTACCCGAGTCCATCGACCACCTACATTCCACACTGCGCCATCTTGCACAGGTGCTCGGACGATACCGGATGTTGCAGATCGGAAGCACTCACCTGTGTGCCTAAACACTCTCATCGTGTTGAACTATCTTTTTACGTGAGTCGATAACATCCTCTTATTTTTTATTGGTTTAATATAAGCAATTTTTATTATCCTATGCTTCATCAAATCTTTTTTTTTTCTCTCTCTCTCTTTTTTTTTCTTTCTTTTTTTTTCTTTTTCTCTTTTTTTAATGCACAAGAAAGGAGAAAATCATAACCTGCTTCCTGTATTGAAATTCAAATTGTATCAATTAATGAGACCGCGAGGTACAAGGTACGTGATTATTAATTATCGCATATTTCATTCATCTACCGCGTTATTAAACAAAATTAATAACGGAGTCATGTGGAGCAAGCCGATTAAACGGTAATCGTAGAGCTACTAGGCAAAGGCTTCATTATGCGAAAGATAAATCGCAAAGAGAAAGAGCCTTATACGATGTATCTACTTATGTACATCGTATTGAGAAACGATCTTTAAATCGCCCGAAGCAAAGTTTCAATCGAAGAACTCTATCCATCGTAAGAGAAAGTATCGTCGATCAGGCAAAATGCATTGTGGAAAATTTATTAGCCAAGAATCAGGGAAGAAGTCACGCTGTAAGTCATTCTGATTTACAGGATAGATATCATTGATTATCTTTTAGTTGAAAACATCTATATGCCACTCTTTTACGTTAAATGGAATATTAAGACGAAACCCAGCTCGTTAATTTTATGAATAAATTCTAAAGATTGATTACAAATTGACACGAATCTTTTCTAATTCAAACGAATTTTTCTCGTTTGATTTAACAGTTATTTGAACGGCATTAGAACGGCATTAAAAAAGTGATAAAAATTAATCCTATCTAATTGTAATGCAAATTGGTTTTATCTAAAATTGTTTAAATGACACGCAACTTCTATGATGGTGGTCCATCGTGTAATCATAAATAGAGATATACGATCCAACGATATGAAACTTTCAAACGCTTTATCATTTTAATTCTTAGTACTCTTGAATCTTCGTTTTCCAAGTCGTTTAATCAATGATTAGACAGCCAACTATACTCCTCAGATAAATTCGTAAATAAATTCACTTTGCAACTCGATACTTTAAGTCATTACTTTATCACACGATTACAGACGCTCAGATCAATTTCCATTGCATTATATCTGGTAATCGATTCTTAAATGAGGCTATCTAATTTAATATTCGTTGCAATATCAGCGCTATAGTATATTTCTCTGATAAACGTAATCACTTCGTTCTTCTAAGGTTAGTCGAATAATAAATCTGTCGAATAAATTGATATTTAAATTGTGTGAAATAATTCGATATTTTGTCAAATAATATATTAAACATAGAATTTGTCTTGATTGATAATAAGATCATGAAATTTTCTAATAAACCAGATTCTTCAAATTACTTCAAAAAAAAAACATAGTTTCGATCATCTAATTTCCAATGTATAGTTAACCTAACAGTACACTGGAATTATTATCGAGAAGGACTAAAACGATGAGGAAATTAATTTTCCTATCTTTCAAAGATCGATCTATATGTATTACTTGCGATGGTGATTATACGATTAACGGGGATCACGGCCCAAGAAAATTAATCGCCAGTGATCGTGCTAATCATCTCAGTCTGGAACGCGTGTAAAATCGAAAGTACGAGAGCGATCGAACGAGAGATTTCAACGCGTGACCTGCCAAGCAGCTTTGTACTATGAACTATACGCTACTCTCCCTTTCAATTATTACTTTTTACTGCTTTTTCTTTCTTCCGGCAATTGATCGAATAGATCGATTCGACAGCTTAATTGTACTTACCTTGTATTTGTAGAAATTATTTTTCGATAAGGATACTACGAGCGTATGACGTAATTGACGTAACTTATTACAACTCGAAATCATAGATTCCTCGTTGAGATGAAATTATTATCCGCGTGAAATGATGCTACGGAAAAATGATCATCACGATAAACAGTTCTTGGTATCGACGATAAGATCCATCGTTATCTTTAATCGTAAAATAAAAAAATGTTATGAATTAAATATCAAAATATCTGACTGAAGAGATAATTAACGCTTTCACATTCGATACGTTGCTGGTGATTAGAAAAAAAAAAAAACAAAAAGTTTTAAGGTAAAATATTGAAAAGTGACATGAACAAAAATAAATCAATTACGATTTAACCGATTTCTATCTTTCAATAATAATAAACGCTTAAAAGACAAAAGGAGTGAAATATTGAGGCTTTGGTGGAACAAAAGCTCGCTTTACGATCGCCAATTAGTTCTATTTTCGAACACGAGATCTTAAAACAAAGGCCGTACGAAATCAAAGGATAGAAAGACAAGGTGAAAGCAAGAGCAAAGTCATCTTTCACGTTGGCGGTTATCGATCATCTGACCAACGTTAAAAAACTTAATGACTTAACCGGCTCAAGCTAATTTGCTTCTCGTAAAAATAAAACAGCTAAAGAATCATTACAAGATCATCGTAAAATGGTTAAATTTAGGCGTGTGGGCGATCATGAATCGTCATGGTTATTACATCAATTAAATCTCATACCGTATCGTCGACTTTTTGATTAACAGTTCTTCATTAGCATAGGTGCATTAACATAGGAGAAAGTCGACGAACGAAGAAGGAAAAACGTAATCGTACATCATTTCCTTTTTGGAAGATGTGACTTATAAATTGTGTATAAAAAAAAAAAAAAAAAAAAAAAAAAACAAAAAATTGTACATTTTAATTTTACGATTAAATTCAATCGTAAAATTTCTCCGATTATAATAGAAAGATTATTTTATAAGAGATAATTAATTTTTTGCTATATATAATATTCTACTGATAATGAAAAAAGCCGAATAATCTATTAACTTTATTAATCTATTAATGACTTATATTTGTTTCACCAAGTAATTATGATTTCCAATAAGTATAAATATATTTTAATATAAACATGCATAAAGATTTCTTTAAAATCACTCGTTAAAACGTAGCTCGTGCTATTAACGATTACCCGATGTTAAAAAGGACAAAAATCATCGCGTTATAAATCGCAATAAGCGCATGCCTAATTGCCGATAGGGTGGGTACAATAACATCGGTAGTATAATTTGCATTTTACTGTAATTACCGTACACGACATTAGCATAAGTTCGTAGTCGAGTCTTTTCGGATTCAAATATGCTGATGCATACAAATACGAAAATAATTGTAATGCAGTAGACTCGAGGAAACAAATATCAGTTTTCACGCAAAAAAAAAAAACAAAAAAAAAGAGAAAAAAGAGAAAACAAAGAAAAAACAAAAATAAAAATTTGTAAAATTATATTCTTAGGAATGAAAATCTATTATAAATCACGGTCTACGAATCACTGCAAAATCGATCGAGAGATGGACCTCCGATAGTAGGCGTGGCAATATATAAATTTGCACATAAAATACATCAACCATCCAAGTTTTTACGCTTTTACTTGCTGCTCGAGATACGATCGGTCTAACGTCGTAAATGTAAAAGTCAGCAGTGGTTTAATGCTCTTCCTTGTAAACCACCGAGCCGCATTCAAAGATACGTGCGCGGGAGTTTTTAAACGTCTCGCTCGAGCACGCACGTCAATCGACACTTTGAGAAGTTCGATTCATCGGTCTTAGATGAAATAACCCTGGTACAAAACATGCTGTTTGTTCTTGGCGTGAAGACGCCATTTGTTGGCACTCCAAGCTCGCCGACGAAAGAAAAAAAAGAAAAAGAAAAAGAAAAAAAAAGAAAGACGTTACTATAAACAGGAAAAAAGGAGAAATAAAAAGAGTAAGATTGAAAGAAAGGGAGAAAAAGAAAAGAGTACGGTAGGGGCTGTCAGGAATTTAACGTTCGACGTATGCTATCGTAAAGTTCCTTTCACACCGGATGGCCGTCGTGAGTCTTTCGACGTACAGTGACTCACAGTTGGAATCGGTCACATGGTATCACTTAAAATATACGAAACGTTGCCGGTACACTTTCTTATACGTTATTTTTTATCGTTTTTTTTTTTTTTTGTTTTTTTTTTTCAATCAAATTAATGAACAAGATCGTGATTGAGAATATAAGATCCTTTTAATTGATAATGAAAATTTTTCTGTCAGTTTGTCTTTGAGCATAAAGATTCGGCAAGCTCGAATCTGGAATTATTTTTGGTCGCCCTTACGCAGAGTTGAACGAACCGATATTACGGATATATATCTAACGTACGAGGATACATACGTATACGCGCGTGCAAACGGATACGGTAATGCAGCGTGTGAAAATGCTGGAATGTAATGAAAAAAAGAAGAAAAGAAAAGAAGAAAAAAAAAAAAAAAGAAAAGAAAAAAAGAAAAGGAAAAAAGAAAAAAAGGAATGGGATTCAAAATATTAGATATACGTTAAATCGTATTAAAGTTTACTTCGCTATGCTCGATAGTTATCATAAAACGTCTTTGGAAAAATTAGTTAACACTTTTCATCGCGATGAAGGCAGGTGGTAAAGAAAAACGTTTCGAATTCTTCCTGATCGTAGAAAGGCATTAATTAGATGCAAAGCGGAAGGCGTGTACTTTCCATGCGATATTCTTTATCTCGACAAAGATCGCACGATATCTCCGTTTCTCTTCGATACACCCACGTGCAAATGGTCGACCAATCAAGAGTACTGATTGTGATAAATGTACGGATACGGGATTGCTGGGGGTCACTGGTGTTACTACAAGAGAGAAGGCGATAAATTTAATAGGATATGTTGTACTTTTCAATGCACCATACCGATAAAACGAAATCCAATGGCGATTTCTAGTTACATCACAAATTCACTGAGTACACGTACATACATGATCGCCATAAATTTCTTAATGATCCTTATCTCTTTGTAGCGTGCAAATCGAAATTTTCGTGACTAATGAACGAAATGTGAAAATCGGATATCCGTAACGTCGTTAAGATCGGCCCGATCCTTTAAAGAACGTACAAACTGATTTTGTTCTTTCACTTTTGCTCGGGACGAGACGAAACGCTCCAATTCCTGTCCGCAATTATCGTG